GTCTGTTCTCCAGTATTGTACCATTTTAAATTGACCATACCAGGCATTGAGGGATTGTGACATTGTCCTCTTTGATTTCCTTGTGTTCCTGCTTTTCTGCCTTAAACTTCTGCACTTCTTTCTTGATATTTTCCTTACACTATTTTCAGCTATCGACATTTCCTCATCCATTGCAATCGAATACGACTCCATTTTGCAAATCATTTGCCACGTTTTCTCCTGCACTTATTTTTTATTAAAGCTCAAGCACAGGTGTTCGTGCTGCCAACTGTTTTTTTTTTTTGGCTCTGCCACTTGCTGAGTAACGACTGACCCCTCTTTTCGATGTTTCTTTTACAATTTCGAACAAAATGCAACCACTACTAACTATTTAAGAAGTGGGCAGCAAAAATCAGTGAAAAAAAACAAAACTTTAAATCAGTCTATCGGGACTAGAGCTGTGTGTGAACAGTACTTTCCGAGCGTCGGAATCACCGTAAAATTCCCAAATCCGTGCACGCCGCAAAAATTTACGAAGTCGAAAAAAAAAGTATACCAAGTTAAAAACGCAACCAGACTTTACAAATTAATCAATCACCTCGTGATAATTTATGCATATGCTTTGCAAGAAAACATAATGTATGAAATATGAAAATTGTGATTTATTTGATTTACGTGTGTAGTAATAACACAAAATAATCAATTATTTTATATATCATCGCTCGAAGAAACATCGAAAATGATGACTATAATTTTGAATGCTCAAGAAATGCAAAATATAAAATAATTTTCGTGAGCGAATAAAAAACTGGTTTCGTGACCATGACAGCATTTCCTGTCACGCGTCAAAAACACTAGAAGTGATTGTTATTTCAGTTCTGCGCTGTGTGACCAAGTTATATGAAATCGGGTTGCTTGAATCATTAATCTTTAGTGTGTATTAAGAGACCAACCCTACCCGAAGTTATTTGCATCGGAGTATGAATAAAAATGTGTATCTAGTATTTTTCAAGTATTTTCCTATAATAATTTTAATATCGGAGTGCACACTGCGAATAAAAATTGTTCCTTTTTCATGAAATTTTTGAATTTCCCCATTTTTGTGTACATAAGTATACATAAGAAGTATTCAAATGACATACTTTCTTACTAGATATGTATTTTCATTTGTCTACCTAATCCGTACACTTTGTTTATCCTACTTTACAAACCATTTATAGCTTCAATTTTTTCTATAACTTCCAAATTTCCCGTGAAAATCTGACTAGAATAACTATTTTGTTTGTATAACCATCCTTATAAGTTTTTGACATGAGAAATCGATACAGCTATACGATATAGCTAAAATAGGAACAATTTGTGCAACTATCTTTAATTAAGTTGAAGGCTATTGTGTTTTTTTTTCTCTATTTTCCCTTTCAATATTATACAGGGCACAATAGTTAAAGAGTATCGACGCATTTTCCCCTATTTTATGGAGGGTCTGGCAGGAGGCAATTGGATGACTCTGCAAATGAATTCTACACATTTTTATTTGCACGAGTATGTCTTGTGTGTCCTTGCTGGTGGCTGTCGATGCGATGTTGCTGCAGCTGCAGTTCATTGGTATTTATTATGTCCCTTCAGAAGTAGCCGGCTCTACAATTAAGCTCGTCCATTTGTGATAATCACGTTTATTTGTTGTATAATCAGACGCAATAGTTTATCCCTCCGACAAGAATACAAGTTTTCAGTTTTTTCACAATTTAAATACTAGACTCAGAGCGATTTTATTCATTTAATTAAAAACAAAAAATAATATAGAAAAACTAAGCCTTTGTTTAAAGCTATGTAGCTCATAACTTTCCAATTTGCGTTTTGTCTAAATTAAGACGTCGATCCAATGTGATAAGACAATTTATCAGTCAGATAATTATAAAGTAATTAAATGGCATGCCTACAAATGAAGAGTTTCGTAACAGAGTGTTAAAAATTTATTTGATTTACGTGCTGACTTAATTTACTTGGTGAATTAAAGTGACGTTAGACAAATGTAATTGCATTTGTTAGGAGCTCAGACATAACAAAAGACGAAGGAGACAGGGGGAAACAGAGAAAAGGAAATGGAAAAGGGTATACACAAGTGGCTAAGGCGAAAGTTAAAACTATTGCCAAGCCAAAATGTTTGAAAGCATTTGGCGCTAAAAGTCGGCAGTGAAAAGTGAAAGGCAAAGAGTGTGACAAAGAATGAAAGGCGCAAATGCCAACGCACAAAATACTTACAAAAAAAAAAATACACACTTATATATTTATGTATATATATACATATATATGTATATATGTATGTATGTATATGCATATGTATATAAATTCATATAACGACAACAAAAACAAAAAGTTTGGGATAGCCGGCAAAAGAGGCGGCAGTCAAGAAGCGACAGCCAAAAGGACCTAAATGATTTATAAGGTACATTAAATTGAATATTCAACATAATGTAGCATTTAAATGAGCCCCACACACATGCAAGCGTGTGCGTGTATTGGTGTGGAGGAGCAGTGCGTGTGTGAGACAGTCGAACAGGAAGTGTGTAAAACTAAAGGAAGAATGACAGTCGGGTGGGGCGGGCAAGAAACAAAAAGCAAGCGTCAAGGTCACTTTCGGCCATGAGGGTACGGCCTCTGGCCAGTGGACAGTGCGGGGCTTGACTGCACACACACACACGCCCACTAACCCATGCATACACACAAACACACACTCGCGCACACAGTTCTTCACGTTACCAGCTTCTTAGCATTGTCTAAGTTACTTGACTTGCTCTGCTCTGCTCTGCTCGCCTTCATGCTAAAATTCCACAAAATCAAAGTAAAAGCTGAGGGGATCGGCACCCAGCCCCAGCCCCATCCCCAGCTCAAACGCACTCAGCTACGTGCCCAGCCTTTTTGTGTGTTTGTTGGCAGTGGATAGGAATGGGGGTGCATGTGTGTTTGTGTGTGTGCGTGCGTGTGTGTGTGTGTGTTTGGCTGCGTTCGCGATGTCGACATGCACGACAACACGCAGCGCTGTCAAAGTTTGGGCGGCTACATTGTTTAAACGGCACAAACGCTTAAAGTTTTCGCCGCGATTGAATTTCCAGATGCCAAAGCGCAAAACTTTTGTGATTGGCTTTTGGGCTAGGCATTTAAATACATACGACTATGCTATATGCTTCACTTACATTCATACATACATATGTATATATGGTTGTGTGTACTTCAGTGTCTGCATCTGTGAGTGTGCGTGCCTGTGTGTGTGTGTGTGTGTGTGTGCGTAAGCGAGTAATTTACAAAACAACAGCAGCATCATAAATCACACAAACACGCGCGCCATAACAAAGCTCCTGCCTACCTCCTCACCCAACCAGAAAGTAAACGTCAAAAAAAAAAAAACAACAAAAACAGCAACTACTTATATTATATGTACTATATCTGTATATAATATATATGTACAGTTGTAGTTAGTGAACATGTAAAGAACATCACGCGCTTCTGCAACAAAATGCCAGCCAACCTCTTCGACATCCTCATTGTTGTCTTCCTAACACCTTTCCTTCTACCTTTTGGGTTGCCGTGTCCAGGCAGGTCAAATGCCAAAAGTCAGCTAATTCGAACCACATTTAACAGACGACTGCGACACTGGCTGTAGCTGGCAATTTGCCTAAAAGGTGTCAACCACACGTGTCCCGGTTCCTGTCTCTGTCCTTGATTATGGCCGACTCGAACACACATTCAACTTAGTTCCAGGCCGGCTTTTCCTGAGGGGGAATATGTACAAAATATTGTGAAATGTTGTATTAAGTAATATATTGTGTATTTGAGCTGCCCTTTTAGAACTAAGTACCATTCGGAAAAAACTATTGCTTGCGTTGTTATACCCTTCACTCAAAAGTGCAAAGGCATTTTACGCTTGATGTGTAAGTTTGTAACGCTCAAAACTCCGAAGGTACATACGTACATATATGATAAGCTGACCAAATAACGATTTCCGTCTGTCCGGTTGTCTGTGTCAATCCCTAGAGCTACCGAGTTGCAACTGTGCACAAAGGCTTTTGCTAACTATACTATATACTATACTATACTATATATGTATATACTATATATACTTGTATGTATAGCCGTCATAGAAAATATATAATTTAAAAATTGAATTCGTAAGATTGTTTATTTCGTTTTTTGATTGATAATTTTTAAAATAAAAAAATATTACTTTCGATTCCCGCTGTGAATATTTTTTAATAAAACATGTTGAGAAGAAAAGTTAGACAAAAAACTTGAACAACGTAGGCGTTTCCAAAACTCTAAATTTTATTTTTTTAAGCTTGCACTTCTGAGAAACGCCTTTACACTCAAAAATAGAAATTTTAGGAATTGACCACCACAGTGAAATTACCTCCGGCTTATATGGCATAATCTGAAAACCGTCTAAAGATCGCAATATACGAGTATGCATGTGTGTTGATTAGTTCGGATTAGGCTTCAATGCTTCTAGAAAATTGTGTCAAACTTTTAAAATATCAACAGAGCAACTCAGGGATACAAATTTGACAATGTTGACAATCGATCAACATCGGCCTACAACTATATAAAAATGAAGAACCCTTTCAGTTTGCATTTGGCAAATGTGTGTTTTGTTGAATCTTTTTGGTAAGCAGTGTTATTTGAAAAGCAATTGTAAACTTCAATTAGAAATTTCGGATTTCATTTGACGAATTGGTCTTGCTCAAAATATTTCATATATTAGAGACATTTTGAGTGAGCTAATGGTTTAATTTTTGGTACTAGTTTCATTTTGAATCAGGAACTTAATTTCCGATAGTATTTTTTAGCAACATACATTGTTGTTATTTCCTTTAAATGTTCCTTTTCTAGTTGCTTTTAAATAGAGATTGTAATTCGAATCTATATATCCTCGTGAATTTATTCATTTATTGCTATAATCATCAAACACATTAAAGTAAGACTACAGCCTTCATATTAATTCCCCTATAATAAAAACAAATTTAAATTGTTACGTATATAGCTGCCATAATTCGGATAGTTTTCGCTTTGACCGTTTTTTCATTAACCCTAGCCTCGCTTTGGACAATCAGAGCAAGAGTATTGTTTGCAAAGTGTTGCTGTATTTTGTCGGCTGGCGGCCCAATGGGAGATGCCTCGCTGTCCTTTGTCATGAAATTTGAAATTTCAACATTTGTTCGCGCATAAGGTATAGAGGAAAGGTGTAAGTGGACAAAGGAAGAGGCCCACATCAAATAAATCAAAAAACGAGCATGGACTTTCTGAACTTTTTGATAGATTCGCAGAGAAACATTGATTGGGTAAGTGGAGATCTCTCTCTCCTCCTTTGTGCTGCCCTCGCATTTCCGAATTGACATCCGAACACTTCTTAGCAACAGCCCTACGGACCCGAATTTCTGTATGTTGTCCTCTCCCACGAGGTGTGCGATTTGGACTCGTGCGCCAGCACCCTGGCCATAGCCTACTACCATCATCGGAACCGTGGTCCAACGGGTCATATATTCATGCCCGTCCTCAACATGCTGCGTCGCGACTATCCAACCAAATCGGAGGTGCGCTTTGTGTTCAGTAAGCATGGCATTGAGCCCGAAACCCATCTGGTGTTTCGCGATGATGTTCCAGAGGTTGTCATGCTTCGTGCTCGCTTCATACTGGTCAACCACCATGTGAGCCCCTTCCACTACAATGTTGAGAAGGTCTATGATTACAGGCCACTTCAACTTGAGGCCGCCCGCCTGCCCATCTATTGTCAACGTATTATGCATCCGACTGTATCGTGTGCGGCCTTGATTGCCGAACGGTATACCAATGCCAACCTGAACTTTTCTGGAGTGCGTTGCCCGATCGTCTTCGAGATGCTACACTCTGCCATCCTTCTGCAGAACTGCAACTTTGTGCAGAGTGAGGAGCAAGCTCAGAGTCTGCGTGATTATCAAATGTTGAGCGTTCTCGAGCAGAACTTGGACCCGAAGATGGAGGAGCAGCGCGACTCACTCTACAACTCTCTGGTCTATGCCGTCTTCAATATGAACCATCTCACCTTGCCGCAAGTGCTGAGGCGGCAGTTCAAGCTCCTGCGTGCCACCAATGGATTGCGTTTGATCCGTGTGGGGCAATGCTGCTTTCCCATGGCCGTTTCACGCTTCATATCCTACGAGAATGCAAATGTGGCGATCCAGCAGTTTGCCAACGAACATGGCTGCGATTATTTGCTGATTCTAGGCACGAGCATACGATATGGCGGTGGATTAGGCGTTAAGGAAATGGGCCTCATACCAGTCGATGGACTACGCGATGTCGAGACTCGGCGACTGTTTGACCACATTATCATTAACTTGAACGCGGCCCACAATCCACTGCTCTGCATGGAGGCTCATCGGGATTTGGATTTCATGCAGGGTGCCTTTTACTTCCTCAATACGTGGAAAATCACATTCTATGACATCTTACAGCTGATGCAGCGCATCCTGTACGATTGGCTGTCGGAGGATGTGCGCGGCTAATAACAATTGACTGATCTCTAATAGCTAATGGCTTCAGACCACCTTTCTCAAATACATGTTCTTTTTCGCTATATGTGCGTGTCGAATTCAGAGGCTTTAATCCTGGGTACTGGGACAGGTACACAGTTAAGTGCGACAATAGGGGCACAGCATGAAAGAAACGGCCCGCTGAGATCCTATGTGGGTGTTGTCGTTGTCGTTGTTGCTGTTGCAATTTGTTGGCCCGTTGGTTTGTTTATTTGTGTTGCGACTTCAGACAAAAAGCCGACTTTTGACTTTTAAAATAGCGGCTGTCTGTCAAACAAAGCTGCTACTGCTGCTGCTGCTGCTGCCATCACTTTTGGCGCCGCAAAGTAGGCTGCACAAATGTATTACAGTCAGTATCTGCCTCTTATATATGTGTGTGTGTGTGTGAGTACCAACATATTCATTTTGTGTCTTTTGATATCCCATGTGGCTAACAAATAGAGATGGGCAAACAGGCACTGATTTGAATCCCAATTGCTTCATTAACTAGGAAATAAATGTTTGCTATACAAGGTCTCTTCCCATTAGTGGCAATATTATCTTTTCTTGGAATTTCTTACTATTTCAATATTATTAATTTTTTTATTTACATAATGCTGGCTTAAAATTCTACAATCTTAAGCTTATCTTAGATTTAAAAACGTACTATAAATAGCTAGTAAGTTCTTATCCTTACATGTTTTTTTTATTTACTATACATACTGTTTCGGTCCAAATCTTCAGCTAGCTGCGAAACTAGTCCCCGTCGAATTATTGAAAGCTGCTCCACTATTTTGATTCTTTATTTATTTGATCTGGTATTAATACTAGTTACAATAATGGGCAGTTTGTTAGTTTCTTAATTCAAATTAATTAATTAAATGCGCTTATGGCGTCAACACATACAATGTTCAAATTAAACTCGTTCTGCCTCTACATAAGAAAAATAAATAATGCTGATGTAGGACAGACGTCATAGATAGGACGACTTTAGGGAAAAAATTCAAAGAAACCCACTCATGGAAAAAATGTTCATAATTTCCAAGGAACCGAATATGTTTTATTGGGAACATTTGCACATCTATAGCCAAACAAATGTCGCATCTCTATGTGTAAGCTGCTGCTGCCTTGGGCTTAGCATTTTTGATTTATCCCGTTCACGTTTCTCATATAATGGCCACAAATGCACGCCCAATTGTCGCGCACGCACACATGCACACACACACATGCACACACACATGCGCGCACTCTTTGCGCCCACTTATTGTGAGAAGACAAACAAATTATGGCAGCCAGACAGCAAGGCAGTGATGGGATTGGAGCTGGCGATTTAACAAAAAGAAAAATGACATGTGCCTGTCAACTCGTCTAGAGCACAGTCAAAGGCTGATTGTGATTCCGAAACTGGGCCGGAGACAGCAGTAGAGCCTGAGACGGAGGCTTTAAAATAAATTAACTTGCAACAAGCTGAACAGAGATAAAAATATATTAAAATAGGCGAAAAACGGACAAATTATATTATGCTTCCAGGAAAAAAAAAGGAAATGAAAGTCAAAAGCACTCAGCCACACACACGCACAACGATTCGGGCCATTAGACAACGCATTAATCTAATCATGGGTAAGCGCGCAAAGTGCGGACATTTCACCTTGCCAAGCTCCTTAAGAGGCTGTCCTCTATATACCCTTTACTACTATGCCTTACACCATGGTCATGGGCCACGGAATACAAGTATATGCCCTACAGTGTCCGTACTCTCTGATTTTTTATAGAAAGCACTGCATCTCTTCTTTGGTTTTGTCCTGTACACCGAAAATAATATGCTCTTACACTTTTTGGCGCAGGGTATAGAAATCATGAACTCAAAATGGAGTTCCATATAACTATATGTGTGATTGTGCGTTAATCTTGAATGCGGTTCTGCCGTATGCCGTTCCTCTTCTTAAAGCTGCTGCTGCTCTTGTTGTTGTTGTTGCCACCGTTGCTAGCACCAAAACATCCACCTGTACTCTCAATCTCTCTCTCTCTCTCTCTCACTAATACACATAGAGATATATATGTATGTATATAGTATGTGTGTGTGTACTTGGAAGCATTTGCAACTTGATTTATAAACGCGCTGATGTCAGTTACGTGCAAAATGGCAGCAACTTCGCATTCTGCTTCTTTAGCTTCCTGCCCTTTTTTTGGCGGGTCGCTTACGCACTTAATAACGTTGATGAGCAGAGTGGAAAGTGAAAAGTAGGGGTGAATGGGAGGGGGGAGAGGGAAGGGGGTGTTGAGCTGGATAGAGTATAGTACGTGTAGTACTCTGTCGCCTTTGTGCTCAGGTTACAGCAGCCATGACTGCCTTGGTAACGAAAGCCATTGCGAAAATTGCTTGTAACACTTTTTTTGTTACTGCTGCCATCGGTACTGTTGTTGTTATTGTTATTGTGTGCCTTTTATAAATCGTTTAGACCTCAGCGCCAAGTCAAAGCCAAGTCACACGAACAGGAAGCCCAAAGCTGATGTTTGTGAGTGCCTTGTGCCATTATTCCTTTGGCGGTGCAGGCATCTCCACTCAAAACACATCCATCAGAGCCACTTGAAAGCGTTGCTCGGCATCACAAATACCGGCAAGAGCAACAATAGCAACAATGCTACCATCAGCAATAACAAGTCAACATTGGCGTCACAGTACGCAACATTTATTTGCAAACACAATACAAGTATGTATCATTTTACATGCAGGGGGGCGGGGGGGCAGAAAAGAGATCGTCCAGACACTATAGAGCAACCAAAAGCAGCAACAACTTCTGTGCACTCTGAGAAGAACACAGACCGACTAAGCACTACACCGTGATTGTGGCTTCGCTCGAGCTAAGCCTTAACTCAGAAAGCCTACTCCAATATGCTAATTATCACCGCAGCAATGTGGTACAACACCAAAAATATGAACAATTTAAAGTGCTGCACCGCTATGTACAATGCTGAAAAATATAGCTGCAAATCTTTAAATATGGTATACAATTCGGTTCGATTGGGATATATGAATGAATGGTGAGGACTGTTTCTAAACATATTTGAGCTTTTTGACTGGTTGATAATTGAAAGAAATGAAGCTAACATAAATAAAAAACAATAAATAAATATACAAAAATATTACATAAATAGTTCAGTTCACATGTATTGCCATTGTAAATGAAATAGCTATATACAATTGGATGAGAATATTCGGAAATTCAAATTCAACCCGTTACTATAACGGACTAAGCTAGAATAACAGAAAATTATTATCATTGAAAATTACATGTCATTATTAAATTAAATTTCACAACAATAAAAGAAGTGACAAAAATTATATTTTAACTTATTTCATAGTCAAGCTTAAGTTGGACTCTTTATATAAATCAAATGCAGAATTCAATTGATTCCTTAACATAAATTAGAATATTTTTTTCTGTGTGCATTGCGCGTTTTCTTTTTCAATTTATTACCAAAAATTGTTAAACAAAGAAATCTATCCGTTCGATATCAAGATATAAAACTGATTTGCTATAAAATATACAAGCTGTCAGTTGAAACGATAAGCCATAATTTTTCCTGATAAACATGAATATCTTCGTTAGAGCTTTTTTTCAATACTTATCAACTTTTGTCGCAAAGTTGTTTATAAATTAATTAAAATTTTACGTTCTACAAAGCTTTTTTTACTGTAATTTTCAATGTATTTTTCGCCTTTCGAAATGATATTCAATGTCCATCTACACCTTGGGCTATAAATGTAGTCCTCTTGTGCTTCCAGTTGAAGAGTCTGGTGGTTACATTGTTCAATGGACAGAATAAGCGCTTATATATTGTGGCTTCCTCTTTCTATTGGAAACGACTGAAATAATGTTAAATGAAACAAAATTTTACACCACTATAGACGGAAATCCTTCGTTTCGAGTCAACGAAATTGTGCAAATTAATTAATTGGAAAGAGACTAACTTATCCTACATATCAGCAATATTTTTTTTTGGTAAAGCAAAATAATGCAAAGGGAAAAAATTGCACTCTTCAACTCCAGAGGACTGCAGACTCACAACAGGCCTACTCGCAGGCCATTGCTTGGCAGTTGGGCACCTGGGCAGCACAGCAGACGGCAAAGGCTGGAAACTGACTGAACCAGAAGCAATCGAATTGCCAGACCACCCTCTATGCCACTGCCCTACACTTGTAACATTTCGACTGAAGTACATCAAATCTCACATAGGCTTGCCTCTGCTGGCGTTGCTGATGGATTAGTAAAGTGCTCTCCCAACTAAGAACAAATTTGTGTCTTGTGGTTTAGGTAAATATCCTATTATAATTGAAATCATTTAAAAAGACAATATTATAACTAGCTCAAGGCCCTCGATTCGCCGCAACCATCTTGACAGAATCATGATTAAAAATTGACAAAGCTATTATACTCTGTACGTGAAATGTACAAGAGTACTATATAACAAACAATTATAAGACAAACAAATATTTGCTGCTGATAAATAAATAACTATGATTGTTACTTTAAAACCAAAATATAATAATACGGAAAGGCCTTTCAAATAGTAAGTGTTGCATTTTAATATCTCCATGTTTACAATTCAAGCCTGAAGACGGATAATTCAAAATAATATGGTTAATTGCAAATAAATGCAATTCAATTAAATCTGCAATATTCAACAAACATAATCTGTTAATAAATTTGTAATACTTGTAAATATTCAGGGCTTCTAATAATCGGAAAAGTAGAGGCAATAAAGACTTTTTTTCTTCTAAAACAAAATGTATATACAATTTCTTAAACCAGTATTCTGCTACCAATACGGCAGTTTAGGCTAGTTGAAAATTAATGGGGATTACAAATTCTAAAATTGTTGACTAGTTGAGTAACTAAACATAACTTTAATTTTTTCAAATTAGAATATTCAGAGACTGAACGGCATGCTTATTTCGTCTGGGCAGGGCCTGTATTGCATCATACTAATGTGCTAAGTATATCCAATAATAGACAAATGATCTTAAATTGTGGTGGTAGGGATGAGCTTGCTCGCTTTGTTTCTCTCAGTGCATTGG